AAAAACGCAATATAAAAAATAATTTTGCTTAGCAAATAGCTTCGCAACTAAAATCTTTCCTATCCATAATTTCACCAAAACACGCAGCCCCGTACTGTTATTCTTTGCCCCGCCCTAATAACTTGTTTCTTGAAGCACGTCCTAGCAACTTACTCGTACCAAACTCGTCATCAATAAGTTTCTACTCATAAATATCGCCCAGCCAAAGAAGAAAACTTTTACGTAGGTCAAAACCTTTTTTACCGGCACAAAAAGAGAACAAAAAGACAAAAACAATGCATAGAAAACTTGCTCAAGTTCAGCGCGCAGGTAACTTCCGGTGCGGCAACAAACTCATTCACGCCTGACAAATGTTTTTGTAAGTTAAGAAATCTGACATAGCAACGAACAAGTAATTTGATACGTGTTTATTGCGGCAAAGTTCGAAGACTCGAAACTAAATTCGAAATTAATTGGAAAAGTCTCAAAGGAGCTATTGAGGTATGAGTACCGATTGTTAGCCGCACTGAGTTGTGAACGTACTTTTGCGGGAAGCAGACAGGTATTTGAGTAATCAAGTGTGTGAGTGTAGACTTCTTTGTATGAAATTTGTTTAAAAGTAATTAAGATGTATGTAATCCCTTTTTAGCAACAGCCAACAGAGCAACAGTTTAATATTAACCCAACCTCTCATAGTCTAACGTTAAGTTGCGGAGACTTTGTAGATTAGCGCGAATATTTCATCAAAACATTACTACTTGAAGTACCGAAAGGCTAGAAAGTTTTTCCAACTCCTTTTTCTAACATTTTTATTTTATTGTTTTTTTGGTAAGGCATTTCAAATTATGAAAAAGTGAAGGGGACTCCTGTTAAAGCTTTGCCTGCACAATTGGTTAGCTTAGTGAGAGTTGAAGCTTATTGGGCCCCTGTTAACGATTACTTGCAAATTCAACTTTATTGTAGGTTATGCGGAGGCACAAGTACCCACGAGCCATAATTACTTAGTGGACACACTCTGAACCCAATAAGTACTGGGGAGCAGTGGGAGGCCATATACACCCTTTTCGGCTACACTTATAATGCAGCCGACTGTGATTTCACTTGCACCGAATAGGTGTGATCACGGAGTCGAAATTCCGGCTCTGCCTTGAAGTTGATGAAACTTCAGAACGTATTCCCTGTCACTGTCCGGCTTTGGCCAGACAAAGATTTAATAATTTTGAAGCTCCAATGGTCGAACACTTTGTTATAAAAAATTCGGCTACCAAGGCCCTTTTAGAATTCGTCTTGGGCACACTTGGCAAAAATATTTCAGGTCGCGGTGTCTCTTGTTTTCTTATACCCAATCACAAAGTAACTACCCACGAAGGAATTGCTCCCTCATTCAGCACATGCTATAGAGCGAGCCCACTGCGACTGTTTTTCGTTTACAAATCTGAAGAAGTGTTTCGATGGCAAAAGTTTTGGCTCGATTACAGAAGTCGTCACTGGAACCAACATCTGTTTTTAGGAGTTAGAGAAATCCTTCTTACACACATTTTAATGGTGTGGCGCACTGAACTTGAGCATGCCTGAGCATGCCGAAGAATTCGCTTTAGTCACGAAGCTTACAAGTTTAGCTATTTTTATTTGAATTACATAAAACTTTTAAAGAAGAAGAAAAAAAAAATCTCTCTTTTTTGAACACCCTCCAACTTACCTAGGAGCGGCACTGCATCTAAGGTCGCTGGCATCGTTTCGGCCACCATGTTGAGGAAGACAGTAGCGATAGTAGAATTGTAACTCCTGCAACACACGATTTTTGTTTTTTTATAGAAAGAGAAACCAAATCAGCTAAAATAAGTTTTTAAAAAAACACTTAAGAAATCACATAAAATGTACAAATAATTTTAAAAATTACAGCAAACTTTTTTTAACTATAGTACATATATGTATTACGCTAGTAGTAGTTAGGTACATGTGGTGCGGAAGTTAGCATCGTTTTTCTTTATTGATATGGTGTGTACGAGTGTTGTTGTTTTAGTTGTTATTGTTGTTGTTGTTGCAGTAAAGCTGTGCTTGCGTTTTATGGCCCCAATAACCAATTTAATATATACATACATATGTATGTATGTAGCTATTTCAAATGAGTGGTCAGCTGCGCGGCCAGCGCTTTAAGGGTTCCACTTGTCAATGCGGCTTGTGATGCGCTGCTGCTGGGCTCTACATTTTATTGGCTGTGGCTGTTATGGTGTTGCATTAGTATTGTTGCTGTCTGTTTATTCATCATCTGCTCATCTCAATGTTGTACAAATAAAAAACTACTACCATATTCTCTGCGCTGAACCTCAATGCACCCCGTCACCCGTCAAATCGTCAACGTGTCACTACTGTCACATCATCAGTCATCAATAGTCAGTTGTCTGCGTTATGTACGTTTACTATGTTTATATTTATGTATAGTAAAACTATGTTTTCTTTATAGTTATTGTTATGTTTGATTGTTTGTTGTTGTTGTTTTGTTTATGTTGGCATTTCATCACACAACGATATCAATCATAATTTGGAACATTTATTGGCTATTCATCATAAAATTTTTCAATTCATTTATTTACTACTTTCAGCAGGGTTCACAAATTTGCATGCGACGACATTTTGGCATATTTTCGCTTTTTTTATGTAGATTGCGAAGTGCGAAGTGCGAAGCGTATTAGCAAATTCACACCCTCTCGGGCGCAACATGTGTTGCTTAAGGCATACGGCAATGCTATTTATTCGCTGCGTGTGGCACCTGCTGTTGCGTTACATTATAGGGCTATTCGCGATTCGGTGCATAAGAACTGACAAATTTATGCAATTGCAGAAATATGCCATGGATTGTGAGCGACCTTTATTAAACTGTCATGGCAAAGCTTTTGCAAAACAATTTTTGTGCATCAGCTTTGGTTTTGTTTATGAATGCAATGCATAGCATTTTTATGCTATGGATTTTCGGTATTGCAAATTTGCCAAGCCATGACAAATGCAAATGCGTGTATTTTGTTTGTGTATTGCAAATAATTTGCAATACAAATTTGCAATGCAATGATGCTAGGCCATTTGCACCGGATCGCGAATAGCCCTTATGTGCTTAGCCCCTTGTTCGTGCGTTGGTGTGGCGAATTCGCATCCCATAGCACTTGTCATGCAAATTTTTTATGTTCACTAAGATGTACTTTGAACTTAGAAAGAAAACAAAATTCTTTGTAGACAGTTATTTTGCGTTCAGCTGTTTTGTTTTTTTCACTTAGTGCGCTTTTATTATTTTTTTATGCATTAGTGTGAAAGCTTTTCGTCCGCTTTTCATGTCGTTACGAGTTTTGAACTAAGAGCAAAGGTAGTATGTGCATTTACCCATAAATATAGCAGAAGTCTTTTGTTGCAGAGAAGTTTCAATCATCCGTTTTTCATAAGTCTTTAAATTTGGTATTTTCTGCTTGTTTGATTCTTTGAACATGAACATGCATGTCGAAAGGCGAATTTGATGATATATGTAACATAATTATTTTTGCTTGTCTTTAAATGTTAAGAAAAATTACTCTCTCTTAGTAGTTTTGAACAGGCGGCAACGCCATTATAAGTAGCTTGGAAATTAAGCCTTTTCAAAACCAATTCGATTTTCATACCCATATCGCAATAATTAATTTAAGTTATTAAATAATTTGAATTAAATTTCTTATAAAGGTGGCAACTCTCTTTAAGATATTCTCAAACAACAACGTTCTGAAACCTCTTTCGCCTGACGAGCGTACTGTTTTACATATGTCAATTATGCCACTCAAGTCTAAGTTGATATTTTAAACAGGTGGCAACCCTCCTACATGTAGTTTTGAAATAAAGCCTTTTCAAAACCAATTCGATTCATACCCATATCGCAATAATTAATTTAAGTTATTAAATAATTTGAATTAAATTTCTTATAAAGGTGGCAACTCTCTTTAAGATATTCTCAAACAACAACGTTATTAAACCTCTTTCGCCTGACAAGCGTACTGTAATACATACATATGTATGTCAATTATGCCATTCAAGTCTAAGTTGATATTTTAAACAGGTGGTAACCCTCCTACATGTAGTTTAGAAACAAAGCCTTTTCAAATCCATATTGGTTGATACCAATGGGTAATTATTTATTTAATTGAATTAAATTTTTTAATAGGTGGCAACCCTTTTTATGTTCTTACCTAGATACATATGTAAGAACCTTTTAAAAGCCGCATGACCCAAGCGGAAGTAAAAGACGCTGTGGACAATATGGAGCACCATACAAAAAAATTGGAGGTTTAGGGCAGCGAAGTGCAAAAGCCACCATATATGAAATGCATGGTCGGGCTATCCTCCTTCTTCATGTAATGTACTTAGCTTGTTAGAAAAAATTTATTTGAAAACGCATTTGCAAAAATGAGATGTATGTATGTATAGTATATATGTACATAGATATTTTCTTTGTCAGTATCTCTTTTCGAAATAGCGATTCGTATTCACTCTAAAAACTATTCCAATGCCACATGGGTACCAGTAGAGGCGAAGCGCACAAGGAGACGGCCAGATTGGAATTCCAATGTTTGTCGATGAATTCATTAGATGGAAGATTCTGAAATTTGCATAATAAGCTTGATGAACTTTGCATATAAGGTACTTTCGACACATACATACTTCGTGAATGAGTCCATGATTGTTTCTTACAAATGTGGTTTCAGACTAGTCAGGCCAGCGTGCAAAAGGACGCTTGGCTGAAAAGGCCGATTTTATCGATTTCAAAGACAGCTGCTTATAAGACGCCACGTCGAAACTTGAAATCTTACAACGCTGTGCAGAATGACATAAAAAAATCTTCAACTACATTAATCTCTACAAATATTTTCCTGTTGTCTCTCAGGAAGGATATCGAAAGAACGCCACACAAGGTCTTAATTTTTAATTTAGTTAGTTTTGGTTTTCACTCGACTTCTCTTGAGTGTTGAAAATCATGCCTATCTAACAGACTCTGGGCGACATATGATGTTCCTCAAGGTGGCATATTGCAGCAGTCGCTATTTATCGTATTTAATGAATTATATCGGGTTGCGCTTCCATCATCTTCTATAAGCAGATGACTCTGCTATTAAAAACTTGAATGATTACAGTGTTCTTCAAGCGAAACTTGATTGACTTTATTCTTGGTGTATGCGGACTCACCTGTTCCTCCACATCTCTGCCTACTTCGACACGAAACTGATTTTCTCCACTTCTATTAAATAAATTGTTTCAAAATCGTAAGTGCTAACCTTTATCCGCGGCTTTACGTTCCTCTGGTAAGATCTAGGCTCGAATATGGTTCTTTCATATGGAGACCGCACCATTTTTCATATCGGTCGCCCCAAGCTACTTTATCTCATCTAATTGAACGCCGCGCGAACTATTATCTTAAGTTGATGAACTATCTTAGCTTTGTAAAAACTCAGGTACTGTCAGTGACGATACATACATACACTTAAAAGTACTATGTCTATTTTTTCGGGTAACAAAAATGTTGCGATATTGATCAGTGCGCTTTTAATGGCATTTTTAAGGTGTTTTTGAGGTTAGGTTTGTATGGGAGGTATGCTTTAGAATACATCGATCACGCAAACTTCGTGTTTTTCTTGATTTATTTCCATAAATGTTGCATACAAAAAATTTAGGTTCTACGTCGACTTCTTTTAATTTTTACCAAAAATTGTATGGAGCTGTACCACTGTGCAGTGTATAGGTAACTCTTTTTCGTGCGGCTTTGAAGACGATAAATAGATGGTTTGCATTGTATAGCCAAAATTTGAAGGATTTGCCTAAATATTTGCTTGTGGGCTCTTTATAAGAGTCGCTGTTTTCAATCAAATCAAGGCACCTAAATAAGCTCGACGCTTGGCAACTAACTAACTAAATAATAAAATGCAGACGAACCATGTTATAAAGAATGCCTTTGAGTCTTCTACTCTTGCTGCGAAGCTCCACTCATTAAATTCGCATGCAAATGCTGCGCTTCCTCTTCTTGCTGCTCTCTGGTTGCTACCACATTGCAGCACTCGCCCCACCTCTTTTGCGGCATGGCAAAGCAAACAAACTTCGCGCGCCGTTTATTTCCTCATTTTGCTTTTGTGTAAGTTCCTTTCAAAGCCACGACAGCTGCATACTCCAATGAAAAGTATTTTAATATTTGTAGTACTTTTTTTTCTCGAATTTAGCCGTTGGTGTTTTGTAGGTCAAGGTTACTGGATGCTTTCGCTGCACTTACGCACGCACGCTGATGGATTTCGTTTGAAGCGCACCCATTGCAGCTACTGTTTTGAATTACTTGTGTCAG